TCTTTGTACGATTATTAGATGCCAAGTTATTTAATATATTCTTTATATAACCGTGATTATAAACGGTTCTTTTTAATATAAGATTTTTGAGGATAGGTGTGATAGTGACTATAGATAGATTGTGACTATATAGGATAGATTTTAATAATAAAGTGTTTTGAACATTCAACTGGTGTGACTATATAGTAGAATGTGACTATAACGGGAGTGACTATAGAGGGAGTTGACTGTACTCTCTTGTATTTTGCCAATTTGAAATTTTGTAACTTACTGGTACAAATTTACCTAAAATATGATGCACAGGTATTATACAATCACAATTTATTTGATAAAATTTGGTATTCTACAACTCAATATTACAAATTTCATCACTACTGAAATAGGACCCCAGATAATTATAATTGAGGTTATATCTTACTATGTTTTAAACTTTATTTTTCTTTTAACATATAATTTTATTAAGTTAATATTATTTTTTACTATAGAAAAAAATGTTTCTTTTGAAAAGAAGAATCTTTTGATACCAAAATCTTGTAAATCTACTGATTAGAATTTGAGATAAGTATCATTACACAGGCAAAATTTGGCAAAAAAATATACGCTTTTTCACTATCGGTATACATAGAAATATACAAAAAAATAAAAATTACTATTATTAAATATTACTTTTTAAGTAACAAAATTATAGATAATAGGAGGGCAATTATTATTACAAAGTTTTGTATCTATAGCTTTAAAAGTAAGTTCAGGATGACAAGGATAAATTTTTAGCATAAAAGATATGACCTTAATTATAATTGTCTGGGGTCTTACTGAAATAGTATCGAATATTGGTTGAATTTGCATATTTATACTAATAAACATATATTAGAAAATATTTGACAGGATCATCTGAAAAGTCTCACAGGTTGAAAAGTGAAAAATCAGGCACCAATCGGTCACCAATCAGGTAGCTGATTGGTGCCTGATTGGTGACTGATTGGTGACTGATTGATGCCTAATTTTTCACTTTTCGACCTGTGTCTATTACGTAAGTAAAATAATACTGAATTTGATCTGGGTAGGTATTAACATTTTCATCATCTGTAATAAATTTTGCTAAGACATATGAACTTTTTATATGTTATAGTGATAATGATAATCTAAAGACTTCAGAACCAGTTTGACACCTTCTGAATTGATTAATTTTAACCTTAATTATTATATCATTATTTAAACTTTTTACAAGAGGCCTCTAAAATTTAAATGATTCATAAGTCACATTGTAATATTTAACTATTAAATTTAACATTTTATTTGAAAGTAGTATATTATGAGATACCGACTTGAGAAATTCATCTGAGAAGTCTTTCTTGCCAGAAATCTGTAAATCTTTAATATTTTATGAATTCAGTTAAAATCGATACATCTCATCTGATGAAAATTCATCAGTAACTGAAAGGGACTTAATAGTATGCTAACTGTTTAATAATTCAAGACCTTTTATTTCAATACCTGAATTTATGATATTTTTGATTTATTTATCAAACATTAATTGATGTATAAGTTCAGATTCAATTTTCCTGTTGCTGTTTGGTAATGAACTTAAAAGTGCAAAATTAATAAATTATAAGCTAATATTAAAATTATTAAAATCATTAAAAAATTGTTAATGGATATTTACTTAATATATCATTCATATGTTCAAAAGAGAAATGCCAGAATGCATATAATAGTCTATAATCAGCGCAAATGCAGCAAAAGATTGAGATTCAATGTAATTTTATCTCTATTGTAATGATTCTTAATGAATTTATCCACTAAATTTGATTCTAAAATCTGATTTATTAAAATTGAACAAACCCTAATAAAATGAGTCAGACTTTTTCTATCTATATCTGAAAGGTATTTCTAAAATGATATAGTTAAATAAATTGTAAAAATATTCGCTACTGATTGGCTGTAAAATTGGTGAATCCCTTTCCACTATGATAATACAAATATTTTTTGAATTAAAAAAGGCCATTATATACTATTTTTTTATAAAAAATTCTGAAAATATTTTTTTTATTAATTATAAACCATAAAATTAATTATCTTTTAAACTGTTTTACGAGCAAATTTACCTGCAATTTTTAAATTAGAATAAATGACGCTATAAAAAATTCTTTAATTTTGGCCAGATCATCACATAATTTTGTAGCCAAATTGATCTACATTCTGGCTATAAATTGTATGAGTTAAATGTGCAGTTGATCATTAAAATTGGATGAGAAATTAACCAGCAAAAATAGTATCAGAATTTTTATATAATAAAATCTAGACTTTTCTTATCATATTTTTTCTCTATTTGAATATTTATTATAACTTTTATTTTCATTATAAAAATTTTGCATTCTAATAAACAAAATAGAGATAAAAAAAATTAATTTTTATGAGTATATAATTAAAATGAATAATAAAATTTTCATTTAGATTCTATATAAAGTTAAAATCCTACTTATAAATATCAAAAATTATATTAACAAAAGTTGTTTTTCATACCAAATTCTACATATTCTATTAAGCTTTTATATAGCTACAATTAATTATTAACAAAATCGTCAAAGTTAAGTGCAAAGTTTTTTAAAATTTTATGATTATTTTAAAATACAACTTTTGATCAATGGATAATGATTTTCTAATATATAATTTATAAATGATAATAATTGCTACATAATATATAATTTAAATTATTCTGAAAAAAATTTTATTAAAATTGCTTTATTTTTCATAAAATTAGATGAGAGCTGAAATTTGGTAAAATTGTAATTTGGCCACAATTGCTTATAGTTTAAGGGATAAAATGTTGATTATTTTCTTTTATTAAGTAATGATCTATTTCTTAATTTAATTATTATATTTGTATTGCATATTCAAGTATATATTTAAATTATAAAATTTTATATTTGTATATAAATTTGCTAAATATTTAATAAAATAATTGGATTAAAAAAAAAATCAATTATTATGATAATAAAAATCTTATTTATTTATCTAATAAATGCATTTTATATTTATATAACAAAAAGAACTTTAAAATTTTTTATATATATAATAATAATTGGTCTAAAAATAACCATTTTGTTATTTAAAACTATAATATTTGTATTTGTAGCAAAAAATAAAAAAAAATACTTTTTTTAAAAAAGAAAATGTAATACAATAATACAATAATAAAGAAATACTAAAAATAATAATAATTATTAAAATAAACTAATGTAAAATTTGTTATATTCTACAAAATAAATTACCTAATATATAAATAATAAAGTAAATTAAAAAGCTAAGCTCTATTTACTTTTTTCAAACTACAAATTTTATTGGAAATAATAAAAATTAAACTTCCAATTTAACTATATTTATGTTTTAATTTGAACAATATTGCTATTATCATCATAATCATCTATAAATTCAATATCATTTGCATCTTCATATTCAGATTTTTCCATTTCAGGAATCTCATCATCTTCATATTCCTGCATTATATCTACATATGACATTGCATTTTTAAAGGTAAGATTAGTTCCCAATAACCATTCAACAATAAAAGCTTCCTCTAATTCTTCTTCTTCATTATGAGTCTTAATTTTTATTTCTTCTTGCACATTTTTTATTTCAGCTTCAATTATAGATACTAAGAAACCAACATCTGAAATAATTTCATTATTTTGTACAGGTTCTATTGCTTCTTTAGATTTTATTTGAACTATTTCATTCTGTGTATATTCATTGGATACCATTAATTCTTTTTGAGCTACTTCTTTATTCTGTACAAGCTCTTTTGATAATACTACTCCTTTAGATTTTGTTTGAACAACTGCTTTATTATGTATAGATTCTTTGAATATTACTATTTTTTCAGGTTTAGTTTGAACTACTTCAATATTCTCATTTTCCTTAATATTATTACTGTTAGTTAGTGGTAATTCCTCTGATGAAGTGAAATTCTGTAAAGCCTTCACTGATATTTGTTGTGATTTTCTTTTATTTGTTGCTGATGATTTTGCAGCTGAAATTGGTGGTAATAAGTTTTCGGACACATCCATTTTTTGCTCTTTAGGCAAAGCTGGTGTAATTCTATTTATTCCTTGTGATGATGTTTGATTATTGTTTTTATTAGTAAAATTATTGTTATTGGTATTATAAGATTTTTGTCGAGAAGGTGAGATAGGGGAAGGAACTTTATGTGCAGGATATGTTGGAACATCATTAGCATTTGATTGTGATAAAGTAGAAGTATTTGTAGGAGGAGATTGTTGAATATTTGATATATTTGTTGATTTTTGAGATTTTCTTGACCTATCTGTTATTCCCACGTATTCATCATAATTATCTGCGTCCTGTTCACTGTTACTCCTTTCCAAAATAGTTGGACTCTTCATTCCACCGGTGCTTGAAAATGTAGATCTATTAGGGGTATATTGTAAACTACGTGTTGAGCCTGTTAAACTCGCCCTTGAAATTTGACGAGCATGCCTTCCTTGAATTTCCACTTGATCAAAAATACTTTGTTCTCGATTATCTTCCTTTGGTGGAATTTTAGGTATTTCAATTTTTATGTATCTAGCCGGTTTATTAACTAATGTACTGGATGTTGAATTAGAACCATATGTATTTGTGGTAGATAAACTATTTATACTAGCATTAGTAAGTCTTTGACTACTAAGATTTGTTGATTCATCAGCAAATGAGGATTTTTTCAGCTTTGAAAGCAATTTTTTCAATTTCTTTTCTTTCTTCTTTCCAACATTACCGGCATCTAACGAACCAACACCATTATTTAAAATAGGATCTTTTGGTGGTGATGTACTCAAGAAATCAATTAAGTCCTGAGCTTCATGTCTTCGCTTAGGTTTTTTTTGTCCTTGAGGATATAATAAATCGTCATCGTCATCAATCAAATCCAAAGGATCCGGCCTTGGTTTAGGAACAGGTGGAAGACTTTTTGTCGCAGAATTTTGAATATTTCCTGTACTCTTGCTAGCTTGAGAATGTTGATAATAACTGGATTGTGTATGATCTAAAGACTTACTATGATGCAATGATGAAAAGTTAGTCCGATTTTGATATTGATTATTACTCGCTTGTGAAAATGATAAAGTTTGATTGATTGTAGCATTAATACGATCAGACTGATAAGGTGAAGATGGGGAAGATGGGGAAGATGGGGAAGATGGCATAAGAGGAGTATAACGAGGATTATTTCCCGGTGAACTGGGGGTTTTTGATCTTTTTTTCCTTGTTTTCTCGCCTAATACATCATCTGGACTTGTGTTCTTTAAAAATTCCCATAAACTTTCTTCTTTATCCTTTTTGGATTTACGCTTTCCAAATAGCTCATCGTCGTCGTCATCAAAATCTTCAAATTTAGGGGAAGTGGGATTTGATTTTTGAATTATTCGCTCACGGGAAACAGGTTCACGAGGTGCAAGTTTTGGTGGCCTCTTGTGTGTCTGCCCAGATAGTGAATTTCCATAGATTCTTTCGAGTTAAAAAAAAAAAGAAAAAGAAAAGAAAAATGAAAAAAAAAGAAATAAAAACTTAATAATCTACCTCAATTGTTATCAATCGATTTGGTGTTAAAGAAACCTTCATCGTTTGATTGCTAGAAATCAACGTTTCAAAACTCTTCATTTTTTCTCTATTATCCTCCTAACAATCAAACACAATTGTGTTGAAATATACTTTAAATATCTGAATTTCGATAATAAGACAATCCATATATTATTGCGAACCTTAGACCTACCATACTCGATACATTTCTTAAATCTGGTTCCTTGTCTCCTTGTCTTTGTAAGCTCTGCATACTTTTAGTTGAACGCATACCTACATTTTTATGTTCTGAACTGTGTCTACTATAATCGCTTAGTGATTTAACCGGGGAAGTAGGCCAACTATTATCCAAAGATGTTTGTCTAATTCCTCCATTATATGAACTAGACTTAGTGGGACTACGTGGAGTGGAAGATTGTATATATCCTAAAAAATTATATAAATCGGATGATATTGGTATAATGGTATAAATAAACACACCGAAAAAATCTTGATTAATATCTCAGTTTACCACTTTTAGGTAAGTGTGTTGATAACTGAGAGGTAGTAGAAGAATTGTATTCATTACCATCTGTTAATAATATTAAATTTCATGTTAATTACATTACATGAAAATATCACAACTTTAGGAAAAATGAACATACTTGTAGTACTTTCACGTTGTGACTATAATATATTAAATAAATTAATTAAAAATATGTTAGCTAATTATATTAAATAAATCTAACCAATTAATTAGGTAACTAATTCACTTATTCGCTAATTCACTAATCCACTAATCGCAAGCATTTAACTTGACCGTAAATGTAATAATTACATAATCTAGATAGAATATTTTGATGAATTACCTCCATTTGTTCTTTTAAATTTGTCCTTCTGAATAAAGGAAAAATTTGAGAATCTTCAGAAAGAGCAGAATAAACCTCTTGTGATCTAGCAACTTCCACACCTTGCTTTTCAGAAGCCTTTGCAACTAATATTAATATATATTCACCAACATATTCCAAAACAGCAGTTAAATAAATAGCTAAGCTTGGAGCAATATGTATCCCTTCGGATGCATATAGGTCAGGTACAGAATCAGGATCACGATCATCAGCGCCTCGTTCACCAAGAGTACTAAAGAATTGACATTTAACTCTAAATTGTTCAAATACTTTTTGTAAAGGAAAAGGATTAATTTCTATAGTTTTTTCTTTTGTGTGATCAGAGTTACCACTTTCGACATAAGTTTTTAACTCGAGTTCGGCTTCAACTATAGCATTTTTACCCAAACTGGTTGGTAAAACTTGACTAATGGCATCTTTTATTCTAATCAGGTCTAAAGACCTAGCTGAATCTATTAGGAAATATAAGAATTCATCAAGGAAATTATTTATTGCCGATAAGGCTTCAGATGAGATGCGGTAAGGAGCAACGTCTGCTATAATGGCGTTGGCTGCCCGTTGAGAAATATAAAGAGTGTCTAGCATAAGAGAAGGTAAAAGGCGGAAAGGATAAGTCGGAATTAAGATCGTTTAATGGAGGTATTAAATAAAGCTTTATTAACGCTACTTATTTCTTATTACTAAAAATAAAATATATGCCTATTTACACATGAAAGATCAAAGTTAAATCAAAGTTGAAAGGGAGAACTATATCTTTCTTATATAAAACTCTTTAAAAAACAATTAGTTTTATTTAGGTTATTTACGTATTGTTGCGGGGATGGCTCTCGTAGTAATTAACGTTTACTTACTCTTTGTAGAATCAACAGTCATGTTTTAACGGAATTGTATAGTTTGTTTATACATAAAGGAACCACGTTTTTGAAGTGTGGCGAAATTTTTTTTTTTTTTACTGTAAGTCAATAGAAAAAGAATGAATAATTAAAAGAAAAAAAAAACCGTAATTGAAAAACATGGTAACTCTAATAATTAAATCAAATAATTAAAATTATTTACACAAACGCAGGTATAATAACACAAATTTTATGATAAACAAGCGAGTTTAACGATTAACAATAAATGTAAATCCGCTCGACAATTAACAAAATTAATGACTTTCTCTGACGAATCACATGTAAACAAGGTCGTCAACTCAATCTTTGATTATGGAATTTAATTTTGCCATGTGTTTATTTATCAATCATTATTTGCCCAATTCAACTTGAACAACTGTGCCAAGCATTTAACTTAACAGAGTAATAATTTATTTTCCCCGATTGGTTCATATATTTTTAAGTTTATACAGTAAGTAGCAAGGATTAAGCGACCTTTGAAAGAATTCATTGAGAATTATTCTATTAAATTTCCTTAATAAGTATAGACTCCAGATTTCTCATTTAATCATTTAATGGCCCTATTTAAGAGTATTATTTTATTATTAAATCCATTAAAATGATTATAAATCCCAAATAATTTAACTTACATTTTAAATGGTGAAATCTCATATTTCTCCCATACTTTATTGATAACATAAGGATCTCGCTCAATTTCTTTCCTAATCTGTTCCTCATTCTCCGCCTCAAATATAAATAAACTTCCTACCATTTTCCCCTCCCCGCTACTCACAACATTTGGTTCTGGATTTTCTAAAATTGCTCCTCCTGCGATAATAAATCCTCGTTCTTTTGCTAATTTAGCTTTCTCCAAATGTTCTTCTCGAACTGATAATCTACGCGAATACGCTTCTGCATCTTTATAATCTTTTGCCAACAACAAAAATTGCTTTCTTCCTATAAAGCGTAAAATCGTCACGACATTTAATATAAACAAAAAATAATAAACAATAACGCTTACCAACCAAATTACTTGAGAAATTTCTTTTATTTATAAACTTTGTCGAGTACAGCCTTCCAAAACACCAGCCTGCATCGAAGGAGAAAAGCGCTACTCGTCTTGAAAATATCATGTTTACAAAAGAATAAATATTTTTATTTTACTACACAGCAAAAGATTTAAAGTATGGTGATCATCCCATATTATATATATTATATAATAATACGTCACGTGATGGTTGAATGAAAAGATGTCCGCAATATTACACTTTAATAATTTTTGTGATTATAGTGATTATAATGCAAAAACTGACAAATAAACAATCAAATAGTAAGGTTTAAATTTATAAATTATCTACTCATTACAGAAATTTTATTTTACTGATTAAATATTTAAATTCTCGCATTCTCGCTGGTATTCTGGTGGGAGAACTTTACTACTGATCTCAAGAAGATATTCTTCAGTCTATGAACATAGATGGTTAGATGATTATGCTTTTTGATGGAACACACAGTTAAAAAAAAATTATAACATAAATTACTTACCGGAATATGATTAGGACACCAAATTTCGTAATGTATTCCACCAACAGCATCTTGACGTTCGTATAATGCACAATCAATATCAATAGAACATAATACATGATATGATCTTTTACAGTTAGGATATGGGCATAGGGTACAGCTTCCCGAAGGAATGCTACAAACTTCACATTTCTAATGCGAAGAGAATAGAAATTTTAAAATCAACATAAGATAATAAGAAAAGGTCAAACTTTTCTTATGAAAAATGCTAACCAGATCTTTATATTTTTTGTAAAATGGAGCATCCCTATAGTCGGTCGCTACTTCATTGTTATCATAATTTTCGTTAGCAGAAATGAACATTCCTGGGACAAAAAGTGCACAAAATCTATATCCAAAAAAAAAACAAAAAATTCATTAACTTAATCGAAGAAAAATACAAATCTTTTATTTCTTTTTTTTGCACTTACCGATGAACTAATTGATATTCCTTGTTGTGAACCATCTCAAATCTTTCATCCATAATATCAGATTTTACACCGACAACTGGACATAAAGCACACTGTGCAATAAAGACATTAATCTTATCAGTATGAGTATTAATTTGACAGGAAAAATTTAACAATGAAAATATATTTACTCTATCAGTATAGTTGCAATTTTTTTCAACTTTTTCCTTCTTTTTATAACTATGATTGTTATGATTAATCTCATTAGAGCCTACTCCAGGAGTGTTATTATTCACTGTAGTAGGTTTTGGCGAATTCTTTTTACGTTGTGATTTCATCTTCGCCACCTCATGAGATGAGCTTCTTTTACGTGTTGTCGGTGATGAAATCATGTCAGAATCAGGCGATGACGCAACATAATTGTGTTCGGGATACATTAAAGAAACTGGCCCATCTAGATCCATTGGACTTGGAGTATTCAAAGAAGCCATTTTCCGTGATCCTTTTATCTTTGAAAGCGTACGAGGTAATGTTTCGACGACTGAAGATTCGATATTTTTATCAACTGGATATGAACCTTCTACAATGGGTTGTTTTTTCAAATGCCCGAAAATACCTTTCACATCAATAGTGACACTATCAGGATTACATTCACACGATTTTGCTTTTACACCCATTTCAATCCAATCTTCAAAGGCAAAATTTACACTTTCGGCACAGTTAAATCCCATATTAAAACCAGCATGATATCCACGAGGAAAAGTAATTATAAATTCTCCTTCTCTTTGAACCATTTTTCCGAATGGCATAATACCGTTCCTAAGTTGTTCAGGTGATGCCATGAATTCTTTATGGCGTAAAAATTCCGAACACTCATGGTAATACCCGGGGAACCATCCTAAAGAAGTTTTTTGGATTACAAAAAATCGTGAAATTGAATTTATGATAGAACCACCCGAAATAAACTTTTCTTATCAATTGTTACACAGCTTGTTTCGTGTAACTATACGGATGACAAATTAAAAAAAAAAAATACCTTTCATTTTTTGCTCAAATGTAGATGCTTTTTGAGGGGAGATAGCATACCAAAACTTTGGAGCGCCGAAATGGATATAGTTGATCGAATAGAGATCCTTATCCTATATAGTTCATTACAAAAAGTGCATTATGATAACGTATTGAAGTAATAACATAAATACATTTAGTAATTTACCTCGACATGCCAAGCAAAAGAGGCCTTCCACATTCCAAAATAAAGATACGCTTTGTTTACACCAGGAATTGGGTCCATTAGGTTCAAGAGGTTGTCGATTTTATTTATATTCCAAGTAGTGGTTGCATCAGTGAAAAGAGAACCTAGCGAAGTGAAAAAAAAAAATAATAATATCGAAATTTTTTTATGAATTCCTACATAAAAATGAGTTTATTATATGATATTAATAAAAAAAATTCAGCTTACCATCCAAGTCTGCTCCATAATATGGAGGAAAGTAGGCTAAATTTTTCCAATACTTATGTTCGAGGTCTCTTATGTAATCATCGTTGTCAAATGGAAGTCCTCGAGTCACTACTTTGTAATTCCATTTTGGCTTTAATTGATTATTAGGTTTTTCAGCCTTTTCAGCTTTTTTAGGATGTATGTGTTCGAACATATCTTTAGGAATACTCATGGATGTATCAGACATATTTTCAGAAGTTAAAAGAACCTCTTCTACTTCTTCTTCAGTCTCACACCCATCAGATTCGTTTAAAATGATGGGATGTTCTGTTCGCGCATTTTTGGAAGTATTGGATGATGTAGCAACAAGTGCTGAGACGCGTGTAACTTCTGGAATTTTTTCTGCAGCAGCTATATCACGTGGTCTAGATGTAATATTATGAATATTATCCGTTCTTGTAAATTTATTAGCGTAGGGAAGTTTTGATTTTAATGATGACTGAGAGCCTTCCTCTAACTCCGAAGAAATTTTTCTCTTTTTACCGGTCTTTTTGATCGGTTTTGTTGGTAAAAATTGAGATTCGTAAATAGGAGTGGCATGATCGGGTTGGCTACATAACAATGCCCATTTTTTTACAGAAAATTTCGAATTTGTATCCATGTTTTTGACTCTACATTTACCATCGACCTTCGTAAATTCTTGTTTAATCGGATTATCAATTACGATTTTTTCCAATTGTACCGAAAGATCTTTTGGAAGTGTATCAGTCCTAAAATGTATAAAAATAGATGTAAAAAATTGTAAAATGTTAAAGTACTACTTTTGGGACAATAATATATAATAGATAAAACAAAACATAATATTTACGTATACTTACCATTCTTTTGGAGGAATTACTTTCACAATTCCCGAGTTCATGCCATAAGGTCGGACTGCCATTATAAATGCTTTAAAGTCCTTGAATTGCTCATAAGTAGGTTTGAATACTGGAATACCATCTTTTCCTTCATAATAATGGTCAGGACTTATTTCCATTATTAACTTTCTCTTCAGGAATTAAGTAAATGGCAATACAAACGAAAGTAATTAGGAAAATATACAAAACGAACAGACTCGTTTCGACTTTCGAATTTTTTAAATTGCGTTACAATTTGTTTATGCAATTATGTTTATGTGATATTATAGAGGAAACTGTCTATTACACATGACTAAAATAGTCAATGACGTAACCGATTATAAACATCACAAAATGAATGCTAGTATGAGCTCATTATAAATTGGCCAATGAAATTAATTCAACTGTTTGTTACACCAATTTTTTGGTAGCGCGAAAATTTTCTAGTTTGTAAAATCACTTCTTATACAATATACTTTTTATATACTTTAAATAAAATTTAATATAATACTTAAGATTTAAGAATATTAAATATAAGTTATAATTTTATATTAAAGTTAACTAATAATAATAATAAATTGTTAAAATTAAAAAAAAAAAAAACTAAAAAAAATTATATAAATATAAAAACTTTAAAAATAAAAGTAATTAATTCTAATAAAATAATATAAATAATATAATAACATTTAATAATATAGATTATTATAAATATATAAGTAACCTTCTTTTTATTATTTTAAAAATATAATTTTATATATAATTAGGTTTTTATATATTCATTTGATTGATTTAGTTAAAAACAGTAATTGTATAGAGTTGTAATTATATAGAAATTAATTTATTAAAAAATAATATGTAGATTAAACAAAAATAGATATTTATAAAAAAGTGTTTATATAAAGAGTGATTTAATTGTATTTACTATTAAATTTAAAAAAATTGCTAAAATTTACCAGTAGCAAAAATTATTATATTAGCATTATACATGTAATTAAATAAAAATTATTAAATATTACAGTCAGACCTCTATAATTATACTTTACATAATTACACCTATTATATACATTCTTTTTAAATGCATCCTCTGATTTGATTTTAAACTTATATGATCTCTAATTATTTTACCTCAATAAATGCATATGCATTATTTTGAAATTATTTATATAATCCCAGTCTGATTGTAGTACTTTTGATTAGAATTAAAAATTTAATAAAAATTTAATTATAAGATTGTAAATTGTATCATTTCAATATTTAAAACAATTTATTTTAAAGTTATTGTAGTTTTTGCATTTAATAATTTTACTTCTTATGATATATTTAAATTCTATATTTTTATTATAAGCTATATGAATATAAAATCTAATAAATTTTCAGATATCTATAAAATAAGTTATAAGTTATATTTTAGATTTAAAGTTACTAGTATTTGAATTATTTACTAGAGAAATAAACTTTTAAGAACTTTTTATTAAAAATTAAAATTTTTATTGTTCTCTATTTTTTAAAATAAGTAGAACAAAATGTGATTAACTTTAAAATTAGTTAAAAAATTTCTTAAAAAGTTATTTTCTTAATAAAGAATTCATTTTAAATATAATACTATTTAATATAATATTACCAGTTCTTATAAATTAAAGTATTCTGAATTGATTATATATATAGATGCTTTGCAATAGAAAAGGATGAAATTATCAAAAAAAATAAAAAATAAGTTAATAAAAAGTCTGAACAAGGAAGAAATTTCCATTTAGCTCAGTGGTGAAAGTTCGCTTTCTTAATAATAAAGTGTTGTTCCTGGTAATAGTTTGGTGAAGTTTCCCTCTTTACCTAGGTTTTTACTCCTTTAGGTTGGTTTTCCTAGGGTTATGAATTTTTCTTATTTTTTTGGTGAATTTTTCTCATCTTTCTTTTTTGCCTTCTGCTTTTTGGAGTTTTTCTGGGGGGTAGGGGGGTATCCCAAAATTGATCGACATCAGGTGGTTTGTAGATCTTTTCTTTTGAGAGAGTTGGGTGTAATTTAAGGGGGGTGCAGATCTTGGTGATCAGTTTTTGATCAGGTGAGGTCAAGATGGCACATGTTTGGACTATCATGGGTTTTTTTCTGCAGTTTAGTTTAGATTGGAGGGATCGTTCGAAATGAGGTGGGTGTCCTTTCAGGGATTGCACGACACTAAAAAGTTCCCCTTTAGTTTACTCTTAGGTAGTTTATTAACTTTGGTAATATAGTCACTTGGAGAATTTATTTTTATCGACCAGTGTGGGAGGATTTTTCCAACCAGGGGCTGGCGGTTCAGTTTGATAATCTGCGGGGTACGGGCTTCAACTTACCAAAACTTAGGTTTACCTAGGCGAAAGTATGGGAGGCAGTGGCGTTATCTGGGTTTTTGTGTTATGGGGTCTAATTTTAGTATCTCACATTATACTTTCTTCATGTTAATTGCCCACCGGTTTGAGTAGATTATTTTCGCGTGTAATTTAGTTAGTATTTTTGTCAATTTTGACTTATATGTAATTTTCTACTTATAATCGCGTCCATGTTAGGTTTCTAACTGGAACCCATTAATAAAAATAAAAAATAAAAATAAAAAGTCTGAACAAATTATAGCATTTAGAATATTTTTAGTTAATTTCAACCATCAGATTGACGAATTAAGGAAATCAACACCAGATTATAATGTACAAAGACAACTTCATAATATGGGTCTGGATCAATTTGCAATCTCTTCATTGGTTGCCGCTGCTTGTGCTTCATGGATTTGGTGGATTTTCTCCTCATATTCCTGCACTTTTGCATTTGAGTGTAAACTTGGCAGGTACCTGCTTGAGTTCAGCTAGAACTGACAGATAGCTTGTCTGTATTGAACACTTTTTGCTTGGTATGTCAACATAATTGTAAAACTTTTGAGATTCCTCTTTTATTCAATTTTTTTTTCTGGAATAAAAATAATTGTTTGCCCACCTTATGAAGATAAAAAGAAGAAGATGGATACTTAGTATTGCCTTCTAAAATTAAACTTCTACATCACCTTTAAAACTCCTCCTCATCATCTTCTACGTCAAGTAATTCAATGTTTCTGGTAAATCTTTATGGATTGCTTTTGATATGGGATTATCAGAAAATAGCCTTTTCTACTTTTACTTGTTCTCTAAACCTGTCACGTCTTTTTTGATGAGTCCGGTCATAGGTGTCTTTAGCTTTCTCAAATTTTTCTTCAGCCTGTGTGTAGGCTTCTTCAGCTTGCTCAAACTCTTCATTTATATCAAATATATTACAAGTATTATCTTCTGCCTGAACATAATCATTTCTAGTATTTTTATGCTCTTTTGTAACCTGTTATATACTTTTGTAGCTTCTCTGTACTCATTTACAGCTTGAGTGTATCTCTTCTAAAGTATATACTCAGCTTCAGCCTTCCAGATTGGACTGATGACCTCAAGAAGATACAGTTCAAAATTCTTAACTGGAATATATTCAAGGATACAAGATACGATTTCAGGGACTTTCAACAGACTTTGCTTCTTGCATTAGTTGCTCAAGAAGTATCCCCTGTTGATGGCTATAAGATCATAGACTGTGCAGCTAAAGATTGTTGCAAACTTTTCTGCTGTATACATGTTGCTTTTTAGGTATCGTTCTACTACTGATTTATCCATTATTCAATTACATTTTTTCTAAGTATAAGAGAATTGCTTGCCTTGCTATTTTCTTTACTTTTTTCAGCTCCGTTGGCTTTGGAATCCTGTTTCTTGTTCAGTTGATTTTTTCAATTATATGGTGGTAGTTAGACTATATAATGGTAATTAGATTAAAGTAAAGTAGTAGTTAGATTATAATAAAAGTGGTAGTTAGACTATATAGTAGTACCTAGATTATAGTAATAGTGGTAATTAGACTATATAATGGTACTACTGATCAACCCTTCGTTAACAATTTTGAAGAAAGAGATGATGGATCCATATTGTTTGCTTCATTCTCCTGCTCCTATTTCTTTGGTTCCTTTTCCTACCTCTTTCAATAATGGTTTGCATATCAATAATCTTGTATTTATGGATGACTTTACCTTAATCTCCTCAACGAAAGATAATAACTAAGGAATTCTATTGCCTTAATAATACTGCTGCCAATCACAATAAATATGTGTTGGCCACACTTATAGCCTTCTTTGTTGAATTCCATTATGAATATTACTGTTATCCCATTCTAATGTCTTCATCTTTTCGATTTTGGGTGTATGGTTTCAGCTTACAGCTGATTGTAGAATTGTAAGACCACCCTATGATTTTCAATTTGAAAATTTGATATTTTGAATTTTTCAAGAATTAGTAAAAAAGCAAGTTTAAATACCTATTTTGGGGGGCATCTAAAGCCGTGTTCGATCACGTGACTTGTAAAAATTTATTTTTCATAAATAAAACTTTTTCGCCAATACATAAAACTTTCAAGTTACACATAATATGTGTATTTTAGCCTGCTGTGCAAGTTTACTTAGTGCGTAACATGGGTTTTGAACACTGTTTTTGACTTATTTGACTTATTTTATAACCTTCATACTTACATTAATCTTAGTTCATAAAAAAATGGCTTATTTATAAAATGTCAAGTCACATGATCGAACACGGCTTTAGACGACCCCCTATTTTGGTAATAACTTTACAGAAACTTCTGATTTTGCCAAATATGTTAGCAATATTTTTACAATATAACAGACATATCATTTTTGCATTTCTGTTATTTTTGTTTTAACTCTATGCTCAACAATATATCAAACATATTAACTATAAAATTTTATTTATATAGCAAACATATAACAAAAATATGTTAAAAATGTTTTGGATTTTTTATATGGCAATCATATATTGAACATGTATTACATGTATTAGAGAAATTTAATTTTTATATAGCAATTATATATTAGAAATATGATTAAATTTTATATAATCACCATGCGCCAAATATATATTAATTATATTGCAAAATAATATGAAATGATATAATAATTACATGCCAAAAATATAATAATAATAATAAAATAGAAATATGATATTAAAAATACAATAATCGCATAATAATAATAAAAATAGAAATATATAAAAATATAATAATCATATAATAATACTAATATATCAAGAATTTTAGTTTTCCTGATAAATTTAAGTGCTGTCTATATGTGATTTTTCGTAGTAAAAGTTCTCCAATAAAATTCAGGTGCGTGATCTTTTATTTTTGCCAATAAAATTCAAGTGCATGATCTTTCGTAATAAAGGTTTTCCCAATAAAATTCATCAAGCATGTGATCTTTCATTTTTTCCAATAAAATTCAAGCACATGAACTTTTGTAGTAGAAGTTTCCAATAAAATTCAAGTGCATGATCTTTATTAAACCTTTCTTTTCACTATAATTAAAAAAAATTATAAGCAGAATTGGAACTCTTTCCACTGATCACTATTTCCAAAAATATTAGGATAGAAAAAAGGTGGAAGAGTTCATTAAGTGTATAGGAAAAGTGGAGTTTTGATGCATTTCAATTTTCAATATTACCAACTGATTATTCACTCCTTTATAAACTGAAGAATATAATTTTTAGGAAACTTCAAATAGTATTTTTCAAATTTCTCGCCCAAAAAGTTATTTCTTTTTGTTGACAATAGTGATAACTCAAAAAGGGCCAAGTAGGGTGAGGTGTCGTCCTAAAAAAGTGAAGTGATAACATAGGAGCAGGAAATACAAAGAAACTTATCTTCTGAAGTAAAGGCTTTCATTGATATTGCTCTTTGAACTTTGTGATTTCTTGGGAATTTTTCGTTACTGTTGTTTTTTGAATCCTAAATTGGTAGTGTTAGATTTTTGAGGATTGAGGTAATTTGATGTGGTACAAAATTTTTAACCGATTTCAAAACTTCAACAATTTATTTTATTTATTTATTTTTTATTTTATTCCGCTAAGAGTAGTCAAAAACATTCAATACATCATTAAAGACAGTCTATATATAAATACTGAAAGCTAAAATTTGTGTACTTGGAATGCTAAAGTTCATTCAGCGCTAGGAATTAAATTCCAGTGCCACCAGACTTTACCCTTTGATAAAGAGAAAGTCATGCTGGAAACAGTAGGAACAGCCATTACTATTACTTTCAATTGTTCTTCATTAATTCTTCTGCTAAAAATATTTCTTATATGCATTTTGGACAATGGGCTTATATATTACTATCAAGCATGGTTTAATGAAACACCAAAAAGAATCCTTCGTAATTATTTATCATATCAACGTGTGATTTTTCTAAAACTTATAATCAGTTTGAAGAAAATATTATTGATTGCACCTGAACTCTCAAAATTAGCTTTATATCTTTTTGGAATCTGCATTAATGGGAATGTCTTTAGTCAAATATGGGTTTTTTACATTCAACCTGCCAAAATAAATTACATGTACTATATAAGTATATTTTACCAAAATTTATATTATGCAAAATCAAATTAACAAAAGATTATATATTTTTTATTTTGTAGTATAAGAAAGTTTTGGCTATAGTTCAATTGCGAAGTGATATATTTTGTAAAAAAAAACGTGATGATATAGAAATTTCTGAACAGCAATATAAACGATTACATATTGCTGAACCAATCCAAGAATGATAATGAGTTCACATTTAATGCTTTTAATGATAGTGATACTGAAGAACTAGAAGAAACTTCTGTTATTGATGAATGTAATGTTAATGATACTTTTGAAAAAACTAATAATAGTGATAATATTAATTCTGAACAATGGACTAAAATAATTGAAAATTGGATTAAAATGGTTAATGCAGAAATTAATATAGATAATACAGAAGTTATAGGCGAAGAAACATATAAATTTGAAGTAGGTAGACAAAGTATTCATTCAGCAGATAATTTATTAGCTAAATGGAAGTTACTTGATTTGTTTAATGAGACTTTAGAAGCTCCAGTTAATATATTTTAATAATAAATTATAAATTTGTGATTAAGTAATTTTTCTTTTATTAAATAATAAAGATTTATTATACTAAATAATTTTGGCTAGCATTACAGTTTACATGAAACAGGGTGGACATTTTCATATTATCACATTATTGCTGAGATCCCCTGATTCCCTCTTTCATCAATATAAAAAGTTGCCACATCGAATTAGCATTCTCATGGATGAACGAATGAATAAAAGAACGAACAAACAAATTTAAACAACAAATAATATAATAATCAAGCAACAACATTCTTGGTTTACATAAAATAAATCACGTTAGTAATACAAAACATCAAACGATATAAAATAAATTAACTTCTCTAAATTATCCTCAAATTTTATCCATTTTTACTTTAATTTCAAACTTCGATAGCTCTCGCTACGAAGTATTCTATTTATTTTGACTTCAAAACTTCAATAATTTAAGTGTATATTTTATTCATCATATAATTATCATTTTATTCAATTAAAATTAATTAAGCGAATATTAATTTAAGTTTAGGGCAAACCTAATCAACTTATTACCTTTTATTAATATTATATATACTTTATTAACAAATAATTAAATTGAGTTATTCTGAACTGTGAATTCTGCTCCTATTTTATACAAACTTTTTTATACTTTCTATTCTAATATGTGCTATCTTTCTAATATGCTATCTTTTACATGCTATCTTTTATGTTCTTTCTATTTTATGTGTTATCTTTTTAATATGCTATCTTTTTAATATGCTATCTTTTTAATATGCTTTTTTTTGTATTATCTTTTCTTTTTTTTTATCTTTTCTTTCAATAAATATTACATTATAAAGAAATATCCTATCGTAAAGAAAATAATCAAACAATTATCAATTGTTTCCAACTTATAATTACTTTTCCTAATTATTCCTATTAATAAACTTGATAAACCTGTTATTATATCAAAATATATTCCCATTAACGATTAAAATAACTGTTCTTTCTTTCCAATATACTTTCTTTCACCTTTCTTGTTTTCATCTTTCTTGTTTCTTGTGCATTATCTTTCGCGTTAATTTTTCTTTCACTTTTCTAATTTGTTTTAACCTGTTATATCACGTGACCTAATTATCACTTGATTCAATCCATTTGGGCTATTTTTCTTGCAAATTCCACAATGTATAAAACCAAAATAATTTTTATTTAAACCATGTTCAATTAAGAAATGATTTGAAAATTTATATTTATTATATAAATTAAATCAATATAATTGCAAGTATTAATTTGGCCATAACTCGTGGATTACCTAAAATTAGTTCAGATTACTTCAGCTATTAGTTTTAAAACAGTTAAGCTATAACCTATAAAAGTTTNATAACTCGTGGATTACCTAAAATTAGTTCAGATTACTTCAGCTATTAGTTTTAAAACAGTTAAGCTATAACCTATAAAAGTTTCAAGTTTTGGTCTAACTTCTGTGGTTTCAGCTGAAGCTTTAAAGTCAAATTACTATATGATCAGCAAATGGTCAGCAAGTGATATAAAGTATGTCTGCCCTGTTTTCATATGACATAATTTCAAATGACATATCATTTGTGTCATTTAATTAGGGTGGGAAAGGTCTGTTACAGTCCGGTTAAAGTCCTAGAACTTATTGGTTCTGGTACACAGACAGACCAGACTTAATCAAAGACTAATACCTTAGACTGAGTCTAAAAATGTAAAAATTTTCCTTAAAATCTTCTTATTTGCATGATTCAGGATCCTTTAACTTATCTTTAATTTTGAATAAATTTGAGAACTTGTGATCCTTCTTAGACTAATTAGGATCTATATTACCAGATTTTCTACTAAATTAGTCATTAGCTTTTTTTGGTGATTTCTTTAAATTAGGAATAAAGTGTCAACACTATTTTAATTCCTTTTTTCAAATAAAGATTGCAGCATTTCTAAGGTTTTATTTTACTTCATACTGCATTAAAAAGTCAGTTAATTTACAGTTTACCTATAAGGAATCTATTGTTATAGTATCTGAAATATTATAAATGATAGCTTAAAACTTCTCTTTTTGTTTTTTTTCACAAAATATCCAACTTGCAAGGAATTATTGTATGGATATTATACCTTCTAGATCAGTAGTCCAAAATTTAATGAACTGGAAAAAGGTAAATGAGAATAAATTCAGAAAATCTGATACTTATATCAGTGCTTAACCGACAACTTGATAGGATTTTTCTAATGTTTTAACTTTACTAATATTTTCTGCGGAATTCAGATATATGAGATATATGAAATATCATAAACTACATATGCGCTAATCTATACCGTAACCCTAAATTTTTGAGATAACCCCAAATTTTTATAGCCAATAATAATGATGGTCAATCATCTGACACATTTAGCGTCACCAAAAGTTACTATGCAGTATTTTTCAGATTTTCTGTTATTCATAGTACTAAAGCGATCTGTTGCACAATTTTTTAACATCAACTTTTTTATTTTATGCGTTTTACTGTATTTCAATGTCAAATTCTAAACAAAGACCTTATGAGCAGGAAAACTATCCTGCTTCACCTGAAATAATATGTTATGATGACCAGAAATTTAACTATACTGTTATTCAAGAAGGTGTCTACCCACCAGTTGCACAATTGAAGTTTACAGAAGCGCTTAATTATTTTCCTGTGCCTGACAATTATATTATTAAAACTACCTGGGGCTGGTCTAATAACTGTCAAACTATTCAATGTATATAGAAGGTAATCCACATTACTTAATTTGTTTTGGAAATAATTTTCAGCACCAAGTTGTTTCAGTTCAATCTACATTTGATGCTTCCGTTGAATTACATAATGTAAGTTTTAATTCAATTATATTTTTATTTTTTGTATAAGCTCGCAAAGAAAATGATTTAATATGTAATTATTTTATCAGATAATAACTCCAAATAAGAAAACTGCAGTTTCTGGAGTTCATCTCTATGGACTTCAATTAAAATGTATTGATAGAAATCGCAAAAGCAAACTATGGGCATTAAAACTACATGATGAATCAAGTAAAACTACACAAATCAGACATGCTAAAGGTCTTGCAAAATGTGCATAAATAAACTTTAAAAATTCTATTCAAAATTACTACAATCCTAAAGACTGCGTTGTCTTAAAGACATTGGAATTTACTGTACAAAATAAAACAAAAATTGCAATCAGTGATTTGTATACAAGATGTAGAAAATGTTCCACGGGATGCATATCGCTATTTTGCAGCTATGGAATCAAAATTACTTCGGGAGTATGCTGTTTCTCAAACTCATTAAGAGATTGATGCACACATGGAACAATTAATACCAATTAATTTTGTTGACTTAACTCCTACTATTACACCTGATTTTTCAGAAGAACCTGATATAACTGATCTGATAATTGTTGAGCAAGTTAACAGTGCAATTGGTAAAGGTGCATATCGGAGTATTAAAAAAATTCTTAAATATATAGTACCAGCATATATTCAAAATGAAAAATTAGATCCAGCATCGCCAATTATTCATCTTCGTATCTCTGGTGATGGTCGTAACGTTGGACAAAAGGTAAAACACGTTATGATCACTGTAGCATTATTAGATGATTCAGCAAAACTTTTTGAGTCAAATTACCATTATACAGTTGTTCTTTTTCCAGGAATTGAAAATTATTCAACCTTAAAAATTGCAGCAGATACTCTTATTCGAGAATTGCAAGAGCTGAGTAGTATTGGAATAGTCATTGATAATATAGTTTGGAACTTTAAGCTTTATTTTAGCTCTGATTGGAAGTTTCTTGCCACCTGCTTGGGTTTTAACGCGGCAAACTCCAATTATTTTTGTCCATGGTGTGAGATAGCTAAGAATCAACGTGGAGATAGGCAAACTGAATGGATAATTAGTAAAAAAATGAGTATTTTGAATGAAAATCCAAAAGCATATCCAGGTCATCACTCACCTCCACTTTTTAATATGATTCCACTTGACCATTATGTGCCAGATAAACTCCATATTATGTTGCATATTACTGATCGTTTATGGGAATTAGTGCTACAAGAAATCAAAAATGAGGGATTATTTAATGATATAACACGAAATATTATAATTAAAGAGATGGAAACCTTAAAAATCTGTTTTGAATTTTGGAAGATTCGTGATACTGATAATTGGTGTTATACTTCCCTGATGGGAAATGATAAGCTTTGTGTTCTTCGAAAATTTAATTTGGCTAAGCTTTTTGATCCAGAACATGCTGCATTAATTAGAAGCTTATGGAATGGATTTGCTGAATTGTATGACCTTTTGGGAGAAAGAGAAACAAATCCACACTATTTTCGCTTAAAAGCAAAAGAATAGTATGAGTTATTTTTAAAAAAAACTGTGGTGAATCCTGAGACTAATATTATTTTAGTACAAGGACTTTACCGATCCTCAGATTTAACTCCTTATATTCATGTCTTAGTGTCGCATATTTGGGAATTTATGCTTAAACATCAAAGGTGGGGATTAAATTCTTTTTCATGCAGTGGTGTCGAAAAGAAAAATCATAATCATGTTTCTTATTTTTTTCGTAAAACTCTTAAGAATGGTGGAAAGTTTTAAAATAAAACTTCAGCTATTCGAGAGATTATGGAACATGAAAATCGGCTTTTTTTTTATACTTAAAATAATATTTCTCTTTCATATCCTAAACCTCAATATATTCATATTTTATAGATTTTAATGTTTTATATAGAATATTTCTGTAAATATATTATCGCAGTTTTCAGAATTCTGTATACGTTGTAATTACTTGATGATTATGATTACAGGACAATTACTGGACAATTACTGGACAATTACTGGACAATTACCGAGTGATTATGATTATAGGACGATTATAGGATGATTATAGGACAATTACAGGACAATTACCGGACAAAATTGTCCAGTTTTTGTCCAGTAATCGTCCTGTAATCATAATCTCATAATCTTTTTAATTAGATGATCTGCAGGGGGTAGCACAATTTTGAAAAGCGCAATAACATTTTTTGGCAATTATTGCGATAAAAAAAAAATATTGTGTATTTATTTATAAATCAGTATGACAAAATTCGCATCACTCTATAATAAGTTTAATTCGAGATCTGGCTATAAATCAGTGAAAATTACTATTTAAAAATGGGGTGAAATTTTGTAAATCACTTAACAAAATTCATTTAATCGGCATTTTTGTGGATAACTTTACAGAAACTTACCATTTTTAATTAATATAGAATCGATATTGTTAAGTTTATCTTAACGGTATCATTTCGATATCATTTTGATATCATTTCAATATCGATTCAATATCGATACGATATCGAAATAAAGTATTATCACTTTAATATCATTTCGATATTAAATCAATATCAAAATGATATCAAAATGATAATTAAAATGATATCGAAATGACATTTTTAAATTAAACTTAAAGATGTTGTTTCGATATCATTTCTATTATCATTTCGATATCATTTCGATATTGATTAAGTGATAATACTTTATTTCGATATCATATCGATATTGAATCGATATTGAAATGATATCAAAATGATATCAAAATGATATCACTTGAAAACTTAAAGTTTCTGTAAAGAAGATATCACTGCATTTAGTGTAACAAAATGAAAATGTTACGCAATATTTTATAGCAGAAAAACCACAGCTTTCAAATGAATTATTAATTTCCTATCCAATAAAAATAAAAAAATAACTTGTCTTTGTGGTGATTAGAGATGGGGAAGTTCCAAACAGAGCGGTTCTGAACCGATTCTAATATTAGCAGATTCTGAACTTAAAACACTCTGGGAAGTAGTATAGAAATGCCAGTTCTGGCTCACTTTCCTCGGAGTCCAATCCTGGTTACCTTTTTTTTGCTATCCCCTTGTTGCTCTCCCACCGGCTGTGGGTCCAATCCTGACAACCTTTTTTTTGCTATCCCCGTTGCTCTCCCACCGGCTGTGGGTCCAATCCTGGTCACCTTTTTATATTTTTCACCTACTTATATCACCTTTTTTATATTTTTACCTACTTATATCCT